CTGGCACACACACGAGCACGCGCCGTAAGCGCGAACACAGACATGACAGCTGCCTCCACACCAGCACTAGCTGCTAATGCTGCTGAGAGTCACCGGTCGTTTGTTTGTTTGTTTGTTTGTGTTTGAACGTATAGTCTAGAGCGGGGCATCATGTGGTTGTTTTACCCAATCCTCGCTCCTTCGTCTGTCAATCACTTGAATTTCGAGGAAAATATCATGGCTTCAGTTTATCGATTTGCACTCTGTTGAGCTCACATATCCTACACGTGCTCTACTGAATTCTGCCCTGCTGACAACCAGCCATCCAGTTTAGAATAGACGTAAATTTTGACAAGTATTTGTTGGGAACGGAATATATATGCGTACAATCATGGTAGTTTGCACACGGTTTTCACCCAGCATTTGTCTGGAAGCAATTATTTGCACACATCTGAACGAGTATTTGTTGTCTGGAAACAACTTTTCCCCTACTATTCTGAACAAGTATTGGTCAAACGACACGAATGGCAAATGGAGTATTTGTACAGGGTGTGGGTTTACTGCAGGAGCACACTTATGCGCCGTATTTCTTCCCGCAAGTGCGCGCCTTTTTAGTGTTCTCAATATGACACAATATATCCATCTCTATCCAAGAAACGAATTCATTATTCGTAATTCATAGAATCAGCGGAAAATACCTGTATTACTACGGTTTCCCGCGCAGCACACACCCTTTGGGTAAGGTGCTCAACTAGACAGTTTGGTAGCCGTCGTGTTCATCTCTCTGTAATTTCATGCTGGTGTTGGGATGATTCTGGTTTGTCGGGTGTGCTATTTATGACACCCTTGGAAGAGAATCACAGACAGATGTTTGTCACGTACGTATGCACACGGTAAGACATTGTACTCCCTGCTTCCGCGTCGTAATCCCTCCCTGGCTGGCGGTGCGTGGTTAAGGCTTCGCAATTTCAGCATTTAGGCGTACAGTAGGAGCTTCAGCCGGCGAACCTTGCTTGCCTTACTATTGGCTTTTTCCCTCCTCACCTAAGAAGCGTTTTTTTTATATAATTTTCCGCGGTAACGTGCAATATATGTGCTCCGGGGCGAGAATCAGGGTGGAGCTCGATGGTTATCTCAGCCATGACACGTTCACGGCTCCACCTTACAGCAATGCCACATGTTTCCGAGAACGATGACCAACCGATCGTTTTATGGAGTAGGGACGTACAGAAGCGGGTGGTAGGTCCCATGCGCTCTCCTCCTCTGTTTTTTTTTTTTATAAATATTTCGTTGGAAACAAAAAAATCCGCGGGAAAAAAAATGTCTACATCTCACTCATCCGTATATGCAAAACACATTTCTCTTCCATCTGTCATTTTTGGCTATAACCAGGAATTAAAATTGCCTAGCCTGACCTGCGAACTTTTCCCACAAGACCCTAGTTCATGACCTTTGCAAGCGTGTTCCCGTGTTTCGCCACTGGCGTCTTTTCCTTAAGTGCGGTCGGTGCTGTGTAGTGAAATATATACGTAATGCCTGTCGAGCAACGTCCGACATGCTTTGAAAATGCCTCGGAGAACGATATACGTGGCATGGTGCCATCGTCTGGCATTTTTCCGTACGTCGTGGAAACGTCCATCGAAGAGGTCCTGACAGCCGCCAGGAAGTTGTGGAGGATTCACGGAAGTTTTTATTGCTTCCTTCCATTGAAAGTCGAAGGAAATATTCCAAGGAGGTTGAATGCAAGCGGTCATAACGTCGATGAAAGCTTCGAAGGCCTCTAAGCAAGCGTCCACGACATACACGGCTTATTCGATGGCGCTGGAGCAAGCCCCTTAGCCGTCGCTAATAAATTCATGAAATCAATGAAAACTTCCATGACGGAAACCAGTGAAGACTGTCAAAGCAGAGTTCAGAGACGCACGGTCGTGTCTCGACAGACAAGAAGACAGGTTGATCACGTGTCCCAAAAAAGAAATCGACGAAACCCCATCGGAACGAGTACCCATGCTGACACCTTCACACTCGCTCGCGCATTGCATATGCGTATTCATTGCGGTATTGCACTCCTTACGCCCACTATGTGCCATCCCCCACACTCTTCACTACTGGCGTTTTTTGTAAACCGCCCATGGGACACCCATGGGGCGCCCATAGGCCCCCAATGGCCGTCCATGGGTGGGCCCATGGGCGGCCCATGAAGTGCCCCTGAAGTGCCGACCGTGAGTATACCAACCAATATAATTTCTCCACCGGCATATCGACCTAGAACTCAACCATCGGCACATTAACCTAGAACTTAGCCATCCAGCGCCGATCTAGCACGTATCGTGTGGGGTTGGGGTCTGGGCTAGGGTTAGCATTCGGGATATTTGCCGCTATGCTGCCGTCCCACAGCAGATAATCTAATGTTTAGGACGTACGTGGTGCCGTTTGGAGGGCACTAATTGACTGCCCATGAGCATGCCCCTGGGTGTCCCGTGGGCGGTTTAGGAAAACTGCAGAAAGTGCGGACCTCACTATTGCCAGCGACCTCGAACAACGATTCGGACACGACCGAAGGCCGCTCCCCTGGTCCTTCCGTTGACTTGACTTCCATCCGCGGCTGTGTGACTATTGAGATGCTCTTGACCGCCAACAACACTTGGAGGTTGCATGCTCACACTTTCCCTGCGATCCGCTAGCATCCGTACGGCAGAAACGAAACTGTTGAGGACAAGATTTCTCAACGTTGCCATCCACACCGCCTACAGTGTTCACCATCGTCACCTCAGGATATCACCCAACTTTCATGACCGCTGTTTCCGGAGTCCGTGTTCAAATCGACATCATCTACGTACGAGACAACCCAGGCGATTTTCCTTCTTCTCCGCATCATACGTGGAAGCTCCGCCCGTGCATACATCGTCTATCATTCTTGTCAGCGATGTTTTCGTCATCATTTGATTCAGGATGTCGAGCTACACACAATCCTGGAGGAGCGAGCCATAGTAACGAAGACTGCGTCCAAAGAGGTTATGTTGACTTCTCCACTATAAATCTGCTCTGCGTGCGGTGTTCCTATAACGAGAGGGCTCAGCCGTCCGTCTCCGTCTTCCCTGCTCTGCCCGTGATGTCCATAAAGTAAATGATGTGGCACAAATTAGGACACAAATATTTGCCGCAGTTTACTTGCACCCACGAAGTAGCCGCTGTCCTTCTTTATTGGGGATGCCATGTAGATGGTGAAAAAACAATCCCGCTGGCGAGGCATCACCAAGATTCGAACTGATGTGCAGAGGTCAGACGGTTGCGATATTGTCCAAAGAACTATCTGAGCGACCGATACCATGCTTAGCGCGCCTCTTCAGCGGAGACAGCGTTCGTGTGATTCGGAGATACCGTACGTACATGCTTCTATATGGATGTCCAGGGCACACTTCGAATGGTATACTGGGCTTTCCGTCCTTGATAGCAACGCATCGTCCTTCACAGAGATGAGCGACGCATCCCTCTCAACAGATGCTGATAATGTCGCCCATGGCGTCCTTCGTGAGTGCGCCTCACAAACCTCCCGCCTCCTGTTCTCCCGTACCAGGTAGAGGACACTCAGCTACATAGCTCTCCTATTCGTCAGCCAACCTATGCAAACATTTGTTGAAGGTCCACCCCTGAATAAACGCCACATGTATCTATGTACACTCTAAATGATCGTGCTACCGAAACTGGAACCTTGGGACCGGGGTGTCCCGCGACAAATGAACAGGACTCACCGCCACTGTTGTTGACACTGCTGTCGGCGTCTTCACTTTTCGAACCTTCACGAATCTCCACCCAGTGCTTGTTTCTTCTTGCACCGGTCCACCTGAAGCGGACGCCTTCTGTGTGCACACAATAGTCTATTTGGCCGACAGGGGACATGCACGAGAAACAACGTGACATAGTATGGGCCCAGATACTGTACACCAATATGATATTACAAGTGCCGCAGAAAAGAAGACCCCGGAAGCCTGTTCGTATACCCTAAGTACGCTCGACCGTACTTCCTATTATGTAGCCTTGATACTTGATGTTTCAGTGCTTGTTAGATTCACCGGGTGGGGGGAAAGAACAAGGAGTACGGGCGATCGTGCTTAGGGCATACGAACACTCTATGTAGAGTGATGGGCCCTTGTCGTTCTTGCAGCAGTTGTACTGCTTGATGTTTAGGTGCTTGTTATCACTCACACCCGGTTGGGGGGAAGAACGGAGAGTGCCATGGGCAGGACAGCTGACGTGGTGGCTGCGCTTTACCATCCTCTGGTCGTACTGCCCAATGCCAACCTATGTGCTGGGCACCTCAGACAGTCATCTCGTCCACAGATCCGACTCCATACGCAATCACTCGACGAACGCTGTCCCAGGTATGTCGGGCAAAAAACAAGCCACAGATTGAGCTCACGGCTCCCACTAACAAGAACGACAACACATCACCAACGGCGAAGGGGTTCGTGGTAAACTTACTACACAAGGCTTGAGTACGCTGACCGTTGGAAAATTCAGCAGCGCAGCTCGTATCATTTCCCCACGCACGCCCAAGCAATGTCGGGGGGGGGGGGGCAGATCAAGAACCGATACGGCTGCGCTCTATTCCGAACAAGACTCGCCCACTCCCCGACATGTTTAATGCTTGCTTCTTTCCGGGTTGGCTCAACCTTGTCGTAGAAGACGCGTTGACATGATTGATAATGAGTACGTATGCATGTCAGACTACGTCAACCGAGCGTAATGTAATTGTAGCCAGGAATATACCAGATCGGGTTAATTGGAGTGGAACAAAATGCTGTCAAACAACAGGACTTTGGAAAGGAAATATGGGGCAACTTCAAGTATTCTTTGCATACATTGTGTTTCTCTGTTGCGTTTGTTGAACGTCGCTCGAAATGACTATTTACGCACCCCCTTTTATAGGCAGTCAACAGCACGCGACTACGTATCTCCCCTAACGGACAGCCGTTGCCCCTATTATCCCTTGTACTTCATCGTTTCCTTCGTCCAGGAATATGTTTTCCGAGATCGTCTCACCGTTTTCTCTTCTCTTTCTCGTGGGAGTTGCCCATGGGTTGATTGAGACATGCGAGGACCTCCAGGCCGCCTTCAATCTGACCCAGACCCAAGACGTCATCGACGAGATCCACCCCTTCCAGGATATCGAGTGCGAGACGTTCACCAACATGACCATGACATCGAACACCCTCACGCTCAACTCGAGTGAAAACCTGGACAACTTCTTCGGAAGCTCGTCGCTAACAAACGTCAGGCTCGTCGTCACAAACGGAGCGGAGCTGATTTGGGAGACGCATGTTAATTTCATTGGAGACGAAGAGGTCGAACTTATGGTGGACGGGGGAGCTGTGTTTGTCGGCGAAGGCTCTACCGTGCATTTCCTGAACGACCTTGAGATGGAGGATATCCGCATCATCAACGAGAGGGATGAAGATTCTGACTTCGCCTCGTTCGTACGTAGCGGAGGATGCGTGTGGACGGCCGGGTCATTCATCGTCGACGGAGAGGCGACTTTCACGCGCTGTGACATCACGGGTGCGGGAGAAAGCCCCCCAGGCCCTGGGGGAGCCATCTACGTTGGAGCCACGGGATCCGTCTCATTCAACCAGGGAGTCGCCATAAGCGAGACGTTCATCACCGACGACTTTGGAGGACAAGGGGGCGGGATATACAACCTTGGCGAGGTGACCATTGCGGGTGACTCCCGCTTCGAAGACATCTCGGCGAGCTCTGGTGTGGCCATCTATAACGGCGAGGGAGCAGAGTTCTACTTCACGAACGACGCGAGCGCCTTCTTCAGGGACTTGAACAACCGTGACTCCGTGGGAAGCGGTCTGACCAACCTGGGATACTTCGAGTTCTCCGGACCGGCCCTCTTTGTAGAGGCCGACGCGCCCGTGATCGTGGCAACAGAGACCAGCCAGACCATTCTATCCGAGAACTCGGCCTTCTGGACGTTCGATGAAGAGTTTGGTGAAGCTCTTTCTGTAGATGAAGCCGCGGATTTCACGATTCCTGCCTCTGTGGTGTTCGTTGGATTCGAGTAGGCTACTGTACACTCCTATTCTTCGAGGTCGTGGCAGGACGAAGGTCGTAGTACGCCAGTCAGGTGGTCGACCAGCGACTGTCGGGTGTTGCAACCGTATGATTGTGTATGTTGTCCCTGGGACATGCATTTCCGGACACAAGAGAAAAGCAGGTGACGTATGTAAATGTTCGCGCGGTGCATTTCGAGAGCTTGCGTCGCAGAGAGCAACCGTATAGGTTTCCACTAGAGCGGGACATGCCAGGGGAAGACTCGAGCACACACGGATGGCGGGGGCTCAGCTGGAATTGCAACACATGGGTTTTCTTGCTGAACACCGCAAGCAAGTTTTTGGGTGCGCCGGGCCGATGGAAGCAGTAGCATCCATGGCAGCATCAGCATTTCCTAAGTATCACGCGCTGCAGTTACGCGTTTCCACCCGACCAAGCTTTGCCCCAATGGGAGGGCACGGTCACCTGCGGTATTGTGTTTGGCGCCAGTATTCGTATTGATTGCTGTGTGGTAAGGCATGTAGGGAAGGCGTTGCACGTCCATGTCGTTGGGATGCCGTGGGCGAGGGTGGGGAGACGCACGATTTCGGTGTATAGAGTACTACGTAGAGTTGAGTATTGCCCTCCGCCCCCCAATGTGGCGGGCGGCCATAGCGAGATGGATGGTGGTGATGGTTGGGGAAGAAGTGAATATAACAAGAAGAAGGGAGACTACCCTACTTTATTTGCCTCTATATAGGTGACAAACAGCGGTTAACGAGAGCCGAATTGCTTTTGTTGATTATTGCTTGCGGAGTTGTTCCATATATGTAGAGCAGGATTGTTAACCCAACAAACGTTTAAATGTGGTGTCGGCAATTTCGGGGACAGATCCACCTCCTCTATGGTTTCACTTTTACTCTCTTCATTCTTTCTGGTCCCCATTGATCAATGTACTACTCGCACCATTCCACCAACCTATCTCCTTCTCCTTCGGACTTCCTGCGTACTTAGAGCCAAGCATCTCGTACTAAGAGCCCCACGGCACACCAAGCGAGTTGGTACGCCGCGCTGCAGCTGTAAGGGACACGTACAGGCTCACCCGCAGCACTTGCGTTTCGCTTTTGACCTGTGACTGTAAGACTGCACAATCGGGTGCTCTGCTGATGTACATCAGTGGTCATTGCTGCATAGAGTTTGTTCTGCTTGCGCGACACACGGCGAAGAGAGCACACACCAACTCAAGAACAAATTAGGACATACATTTTTCGTCGACATCTGCAACACCTCGATGTGGACAATCGTCAACACCCACAAGCCTACATTCCCAAGATTATCGACATTATTGGAACGTTCGTGAGTGAATAGTTCCATAGATGTCCATTACATTGTTGTCGTGAATCGTATCATGAAGACATTTCATGGATGTTCATGAAATGCATTCGTGAACGCTCATGAACATCGACGGAGTGCGTCGTGGAACATGGTCAGTGGACATCAATGAAACGTTTTATGTGAGCTCGTGGAGTTCCAGGGAATCATTCGTGAAAGCCCATGACACAATTCACAGACGGTCATAAAAGTTGATGGATATCCAACAAACGTCCATGAAACACAATATTGACATCCATGAATGCCCGTGAACGTCCATGAAGGTTTCATGGACCGTTCATGAAATGTTTCATGAATGCCCATGAACATGCATAAAACAATGCATGAACAACGTCCGTCTTGGAACTTGAAAGCTCATGAAATGATCCATGAACGCCTATTTTGAGAGTTCATGAACGCCCATGAGGTGACGGACGTTCATGAAACAATTCATGGGCATTTCATCGACGTTCAAGAATCATTTCATCATGGACGTTTCATGGAACGTTTCACGGATTTTCATGGAAACTGGATAGAAGAGTGGTATATGTATTCCGGATATCATCAATGAAATAACCCAACTATACGAACCAAGTGCCATAGTCCCGTCGTGATGGAAGGAGAAGTGTTTCGTCTGTATGCAACGGCCACAATAGCATCGCCTTCCGGGGGTCACACCCACGATCCCGCGTTGTGCGACATAGATGAAGGCGGTCACACAGACCGTGTTTCTGACCGGCAGGATCATCCCTGATCATCTTGTCGGAATTTGGAATGCTCATCAGTAGACATAACTCTTACATGTTTTGCCGCCGTCTGTCTTCAGACCTTGGATGCGTGGGTAATCCCGAAGGTGGGGATAGATTCTGCACCTTCATCGCTTGCGAAATCACGTCTACTCGCCCCAGCAAAACTGCTTTTGTATTGCGTGCCTTGTAATGGTGACGATCACCCTCGTCGGGAGGTTTCCAAAATCAGTCTAACTCCGTCATTTTTTGGTGATTGTTGCATTCGCACTCATCATTTTGTCATTGTTGCATTCGCACTGTCGGGAGTATGCGGCTTCGAAGTTTCTCAACCTACGGCACTGCTATGTGCTGCATGAGGGGTCAGACAGGAGGACGGTCAGACAAGAGCTTGTTTTTAGGTCATTCTTGTTTAATTTGTTCTCCAGCGGTGCATGCCTTCATTTCAGCATAATGCTTACAAATTGTTGGAAAGGGGTAGTGTCCATGTGTAAGCATCTCGGAATGTTATTGTGGCGTCTCCAGAACCTCGCCGGCGCACCGGCTATCTCGCAGACAAGGCCAGCCAACCCTGCGCGTGTCCGTACACGCGAACCTAGCACATTCTGGTGTACAGTTGTTGAACACACGCCAAGCTATATGGCACCATGGCACAGCAGGAAGGCTACGAAACAAACTGGTTGGTGTGTGGTTTCGTGGGGTTTGGTTTGGGGCTCACAAGATCATTAGGGTAGACACAGGGATGGAAGAAACGTTTGGTGGAAATCGAAGCTGCCATAGACTGTTTCGAAAACAGGGAGTTCATCACCAGGCTACGGGGTAATTGTCGCCTGAAGTATTGGGTTAAATTCCTGCAGTCCCCCGCACCTGCCGTCCGCACCATGCCCGGCGAAACGTCGAGCTATGAACGCAACAAGAAGCCCAGGAGAAATGAGAAGATCTCCTATCCAACGTTGATTCGACCAAGGCATACACGCCGTTTCTTGCTTCGTCGTTATGGCGAGAAGGGTTCATACGCCGTGTATGTGACGCGTCAGACGTGAAGTCAGAAGGTCTAAAAGCACTCAATACGAGTGAATTTGTTTGACACATGCCACAAATATCAACTCACTTCTCTAGAAAGACGCAAGTGTAGAGCTTTATCGATATTTCAGACCGAATCTGCCAGTTCCACCTTATTTCTATCGACGACGACCAATAGATTCCGGTAAGGATCGCAGTGCACAGCAGCGAGTGAGTGGAGACATTATAGTCGCATTTCCTAGATCATACCATACAATGTTCAGTTTCGGCGGACAAGAGCAAGAGTATCTAAAAAATACGCCATGAATTACACCTTCTTCGGACCTGCTATGCATCGGCCTATCGGTGTTGATACGATTCGCGATAAGGTTGGCACATATTGCAAGACTCAGGGTTCCCCTGCCAAGTTTTTAGTTGACACCTGTTTCCAAGTGGTCACCCGCTGTTTGGACTTGAGCTGTAGAGTGTATCATCACCCGGTGACAAGTGAAGGGCGATGCGATCGTTAGCCGTGGTTTGGAGGGTGGAGTGGGATTTCACTCTCACGGGAAACAGCACGTGACCATGTGACCTTTTCCCTCTCACCTTGGGAATACTCAGTACGGGCCCGCCGATAAGAAACGTCAAAATCGGCTCAAGGCTCAGGTTCTTATCTTGGGTCGAAGAACCAGCCGACGTCCTTCATTTTCTAAAACCTCATTTCACATTTTGGGCTAGCGCATCATCCTGATTCTCTTCTTTCCTATTTTCGTTTTGATGGCTGAGAACGCAACAACACACCAAACATTCATGCAGCATTAACCATAGAGGTCGGTGTGGCGAACATTTGGGGTTGTCGCCCTCCGACACATTCCGACCCCTTTCTGTTGGTCCAGCTCTAACAACAGCAGCACAGCAGTGGGTAACGCGGCCCGCGGCGGTGTTGGGGCGTGGGGGACGCCACGACAATAAATACCTCTCCCTACACTTGCAGCTAGGTACTCTGTAGGGAGTGCGAGCACGGAAAGGGCAGCAGTCCGACGTTTCCTACTGGACAAACTCCCCCAGCTACCCTTGTTTCCTGTGTCTGGGGGGAATAGCACGATTACGTTTCTTGTTGGGGCGTTTCTTGTGTTGTGAAAGAGACGAAGCTGTGTTTTTTTGCCCTTTTCCCCTATTTTTCGAAAAACGTTCAGCTTCATTTCCTCCACCGATTTTTTTTCGTGCGGGCCCGTACTGTCAATGTGGTAGTTAGTCGGGCGCAATGCCGTGCATGTTTTCGTCCGATGGAAGGGGTGCTCTTGTTTTCGGGCTCCCCATTTGTATGACCCTGCGGCGTGGTTCTTGATATGTTGTCGCAGTGAAAACCCGTGGCTACCGGCCGTCTTGGCATGCACGTTCAGCACAAGTTTGGTCTGTGATGGAACGTCCAACAATGGCCGGTGTAAATTGAACGAACAACGGCTGTTGTGCCTCTGCGTGCTTGTTGATGTGTCATTCTCCGGGTTGGAGTACATGTTCGATGTGAACGTAGTGTTCGCAACGCCCTCACACGAAATCAGCGCCGAAGCGTCGGTTGAACTGGTTCAGTTGGTACTCATCGCAGGGGAGCCGTTGTGGCGGGACATAACCAGTTAGTTGATTCACTCACATCGTTGTGGCCGGACGTAGTCAGATAGTTGACTCACTCACAACGTGTGGAGCGAGATAAATATCATATTACAGGAGTGCAGAAGGCATGAAATGAAGTGCTTGACTTGGCTGACACCTTTGATTTTGCATGGGGGATTTAATGACAGAGTGTTTCGGGACACCATCCAAGACATAGGTAGAGAAAACATCTGGCGCATTCGCTCGTTACTGAACGAGAAATAATGATGATTAGCCAGAAACGACCCGTGCACTCACCATGTGCGCGGGAGCAACCAGCCCGCTCCAGAGATAGAATGTATCAGGTTCATAGCACGACAGGTATGACATTTTTCAGGCGTTTTTCCATACCCCACCTGCGCGATATGTCTTCTTTTTTCCCACGCCAGCTGGATCTCGCGTTGAATCTCCAAGAACAATCGGGCTACAGATGAATCCATGATTCGGAACCAAATATGAAGGAAGGCATCGGCCTTCTGGAAATGTTGATAAAGCACACAGCCGATCATTCTCTTTTCGCCCTACCTTGATTACGAGACAATTTCCAGCAGGAAAACAAAAAACGAGACCACCCACCTTCCCTGTACTGCTGTTGTCGATTAAGTTTTTAACGTTGATGGATAATATTATAATATTCGTATTCATTGCAGCACCAACTGCCGTCGATGCGGCCCAATATTTGCGGGACCGCCGGACTCAGAGCGGAAGGCCTCATCCAAAAAAAAACTACATCAATTCGCGCTTTTGACCCTACACGCGTACTGACTGATCATCGACTGATCACTTGCAAATGCCGGTGTAGAGGCAAGCCGTCGAGTTCCCCCCCTCTGTAGCCCTCCACGCCGGGTGTTGGGACGTTCATAGGTGTGTCTTTAATCTTTGCCTCAACCGCGCTGACCGGGTGGCCACTGAAGAGGCGCTACCCTCAGCGGTCTGTGGTGTTGAGACTGGGTG